ACATGTAATAATTAAAATATTTTTTTACCAAAGGTCCAATATGGGCCTTTGAAGGCCCATATCTCGATTTCGGAGGCTAACTTCGAAAAACGGAGAAATTACTTTTTTTTCTTATGACTCAGTCTCTTAAAAAAAATTGTTTGGTCCAATACCCAGCCCATAGTTGCCGAGTCAATGGATCTTTTCACCGGAGCGGCACCAGCCATCACTTTTGCTGACTTTTTATGCGTTTGTTTTATACGATTGTCCTTATACTTATATATACTACGGTATCCGTCGTCACACGAACAAGGTCATGGACCTGAAGTAGACAGTTTTTTGGAAAGCCCCTAAAGCGTTCTCATATCTCGTTCGTCATTCGTCATGTTTCTGTGCCTTACAGGAGGACGGAGATATGAGAAGATGCTCTGAGTAAGGCCATATCAAGCGTTCTTTTAGTTTATATAGACGGAAAATTTTTTAAAATTTTATTTGTTTTTTTTTTGTGTATATATTTATGTAAATAGAAATGTTTAGGTTTAAGCAAGTATACGTTTTCTGGTAACCTCAAAAAATCTCTTTAAAACGTTTTCTGTAAGTTCATCTCCTATTTGCTCAACCAGTTTGCGTTGAACGCTGAGCATGCACAAGCCATGCAAGCGGTCTTCTTGCATTGTTGATCGTAGCCATGTTTTGACAATCCGAAGTGCGCTAAATGACCTCCCAATGGACGCAGTTGAGTATAGCAAATATAAACGTATTTGAGAGCCTTCATTATTCTGAGGATAAAAAACAACCGATTCCTTATACAAGTCTTATCAAATTACCATCTGTGTTGTCTTTTCCTTGCCACAATGAGCGCCATATCTCAACTTCCGCCTGCAACCCGTTTAGTCCGTAAAAGCTCGACACTATATCCAATCGCGTATTCAAAATATTTACATGTTGAAACACTCTGCGGGCCTTTTTGCGTTTTCGATGGCGAATACAGACGACGATGGAACGATGAGCTGTATGAGCTTTCCAACGATAAAGGCAGAGTGCAGTGGTTGAAAATACTGGGGCTACGCTGGCTTGGACTCCGACGCTCCATCTCTGAAAGTATTCAACTCGGAACCCGCAGGTGGCAGCAAAGGAAGAGGGAGGCCCCTTCTGCGTTGGAAAGTCCAAATGGAGAAGGACTTGACATTTCAAATTGGCGTCAGTTAGCACAGAAGAGAAACGACTCGTGTACTCGTTTGGACTCGGCCAAAATCGCTTAGGCGGTTACTGTGCCAATAAATAAAAAGAATAAAATGTAAAATTTCTTCAGTCTAGAGATAGAAAGAACAACTGGTACGATGAGTGTCAAGAAGCTTCAGAGAAAAAAGATGCCGCCTTAAGGGCCACGCTACGATCGAGCGCAACGCAAGCCATGTGGGAACAGAAAAGGAAAGCGAGACGTATTTTCCGAATTAAGAAGAGAGACACCGAAATACGTGAGCGCGAAGAGATAGAAATGCTGGCCGATAAGATAAACGCCCGAAAATTTTATCATAGAGTTAGGCGACTTACGGAAGGTTTTACGACCAGGGCGAACTCCTGTAAGAATAACTATGGTGGCCTAGAGACTGATGTCCAGAACGTATTTAAATTATGGAGGAAACACTTTTCCACCGTGTTGAATGCCAGAACCACTGAGAGAAGTGGAGAAGATGAACCCGCGCCCCAGTCGATGACGATGGGATCGATGTCCCACCGTCTGACTTTGACGACGTACGAATAGCAATAACGCCCCTGAAAAACAACAAATCTACTGGAGCTGGCATCCTGCCAGCTGAACTATTCAAGTTCGGTGGTGAGGAGTTGATAAGGTGCATGTATCAGCCCTAATGCCAAAGGAAGGTCAGATAAACGCATGCCCGATGACTGGAATTTTAGTGTGCTCTGCCCAATCCACAAGAGAGGTAACCCCGCCATTCGCGCCAACTACCACGGAATCAGCTCTCTAAGCATAGGTTACAAGTTCTTATCGAGTGTATTGTGTGAAAGACTGAATCGCATCTTCAACGAGCTGTTTGGACCTTATCAGTGTGGCTTTAGACCTGGCGAATCCACCATAGACCAGGTATTCACAATACGCCAAATCTTTGAAAAGGCCCGCGACAATAGGATCGACTCACACCATCTATTTGTCCATTTCTAAGCCGCTGGCGACAGTACGAAAAGAAGTTGTCTTTATGCCGCGATGTCTGAATTTGGTGTCCCGCGGAACTAATACGGCTGTGTAAAATGACGTTGAGCAATACCATCTGCTCTGACAGAATTGGGAAGGACCTCTCCGTGCTGTTTGATACCATGCAAGATTTCTTTAATCCAATATTGGAGAATATAAGAAGAGCAGCAGAACAGAACCGATCAGGCGCAAGAGCATACAATTGCTGTCATATGCCAACGACATCGATATTATCGGTAAAAACAAGGGCTACGTCTGTTCTGCCTTCTCGGGATTAGATAGAGAAGCAAAGCGAATGGGCCTGATCGTGAACGAGGACACAACGAAGTATCCCCTCTCATCAAACAAACAGTCAGCGCATTCGCGCATTGGCACCCACGTCACTGTTGACAGTTACAATTTCGAGAAAGTAGAGAATTTCGTTTACTTGGGAACCAGCATTAACACCAATAATAATGTCAGCCTTGAAATCCAAAGAAAAAACCACTCTTGCCAACAAGTGCTACTTTGGGCTGAGTAGGCAATTGAGAAGTAAAGTCTTCTCTTGTCGTACAAAGATCACACTCTATAAGTCACTCATCATGCCTGTGCTGTTGTATAGCGCGGAGGCATGGACAATGAAAACATCTGATGAAACGGCTCTTGGAGAGAGATTCTGCGAAAGAATGTCGGAGCTTTAAAGCGCAAATAGTCAACGACGTAACGTAGACGTAGGTTGACGCAGACACGATCTACCTTATGGGATTCGCGTGTTAACGAAAACTCACCACCGCATGGCGGTGACGTTGCCGTTGTTTCTCTCTCTCTCTTTCAACAGTAAATTTTATATGCTGCTACGTACGTCAACATACGTTTACGCTACGTCGTTGACTACTGCGCTTTTACGCGTTGGCGATAGCGAATACCGCAGGCGATTTAACGATGAGCTGTATGAGCTTAACGAAGATATAGACATAGTGCAGGGAATTAAAATTCAGCGGCTCAAATTGACAGACACGCTCCTGCTCTGAATGTATTCCACGCGGGCTGCGATGTTGTTATCAGAGGAAGAGGAAGGCCTCCTCTGTGTTGGAAAGAAGAAGAAGAAGTGGGCAGCTGCCCCATAGCGGTCGAAGCTCGGCCAGACACTAACATACGTGTAAGCGCCAATCTATTACACAGGCTTACAAAAAATAAAAAACTTATGCATATTAAACCAAAGCTATATATCCCTATGTTATTCGACACGCTGAATGCGAGTCCGAAGTCCGTTAGTCTCCACCACGTCAGGTTCGTGGTCAGTTGAAGGTCAAGTACGGAAAAATTCATTGAATAAACCTGAAAATTCATATACATAAGGTCTAACATTCGCTGAACCCGAATCCGGGGTCCGTTAACCTCCATAATATCATCTTCGAGGTCATTTGAAGGTCAAATAGGACATACAATTTATTCAATAAAAATTAAAAAAAAAATGTTTTTGTTATGCCAAGGTCATCCCAAGTTCAAACTCCGATGAGTTTTGTTGAATTTTCAGGTTTATTCAATGAATTTTTCCCTACTTGACCTTCAAATGACCACGAACCTGACGTGATGGAGGCTAACGGACCTCGGATTCGTATTCAGCATGTCGAGTAACATAGGGATATATAGGTTTGGTTTAATATGCATACAGTTTTTTTTTTTGTAAACCTGTGTTATTATTATTAAAATGTCTTATAGGAAAATATTTTTTCACTTACTGTTTAAATTCATTCAAAAAAGAACACCGAGCTAAAAAATTATGGGCCAATTGGAAATAGCTGGAATAGATGGCTTTACTCGAAACTAACGTTTGCACAGTCTAGTCGCACATGTAACCTCATTGTACCACAGTCCAAATATTCAACCACGTCAAGGATGTTTTTTGTTAGAGCTGTAAAATTGTGAAACTCTTTAGCAAATGAATTGAAATTGGAAAGCAGAAGATCCTTCAAATTGGCAGTTCACTCTATTTTTATTTTCTAACCTTGTTTCTACATTCTTGCGAATTGAATTGTCTTTCCAGCCGCTACATGGTAGAATCCAATAATTATGTTTCCTGATCTGAACAATATAAAAAACACGGAGCCCGGTCGCTCCTCGCTAGCTAGTTTGAAACATTCGAAAACCTCCGAGTGAATTTCTAGCACGAAAGCATTTTTACAAACAAATTGTCTGTTATTTGGCGTATGTCCAAGCCAGCCCAAGCCATCGACATCATCCGCCCCAAAAAGCGCAACGTTTGCTCTGCAAAGCAAATGCCTCTGGAGGTAAACAAAGTGGATTTTTATGAGAAGCTTTAAAGAATAAACCATAGAGGTAAACTCTTAGTTTGCATATTGGAATTTTTATTGTTTTATACGCTTTAACACAGTATTTTTAGTTTTACAATAGATAATACATAATTGTTCTTAAAATTAGAAACTACAATTTTATATTTTTAATACATATTCACTTCATTTAAATTTATTCAAAAATTTTATTATATAGTTTTTGTGTTGATTATTGATTTCCTTTTGTCTAGAACTCATACGTAATTCTATTTTTTAAGTACTGTAAGTATTTAGTTATTGGTTAACTAGAGCTAGATATAAGTTTTTCTACAACTGAAAATCAATTAAAATTTTAAACAGAACTAAACTCTAAACATTATTCGTTTCAAGACATATTTGAATAAAATACATTAATTATTTGTTAACACTGGCTAAAATGCATATTTATTTGTTGGTTGTTCCCTAGTTTGATATTAATTTTTATTTTTTTATTTCCTCTCTCAACATTGTATTTTGGTATTTACAGAAAAATGTATGTACAATTAATTAATATGCACTTTTAAATTTTGTGGATTTTTATGTGCGCTACACATACGGCCTGAACATGCTCAAATGACTCTCTGCCAAGCAACTTTTTCAATCTTGCGAATCGCCGGCATTGCTATTGCGATCCATCGAAGTGCCACCATTTGACTCTGCTTGATCGACCACATCCGGCGGCAGCACACCTGGCAGGTAAGCAGCACCTGCGTAGGGGCCGGCTAAGAAACGTTTCGCGTGCGCCTGCATGAACGGCGGGTAACGGTGCGTCGGCGAACCAAACACTGCGGCGGGTGGTACCAGCGGTGAGAATGCTGACTTGAGCGGAAATGGCGGTGAAGGCGGCACATTGGGTGGCGATGCTGCGGCCGACGCGGCAGCTGCAGCAACTGCCGCCGAGGCTAGTGCCTGCGTCATATCTTCGCCGGAGAGCATTGCTTCCATAGCCTGCAGTACGTCGCCACGATAACGCGCTAGCAGCTGCTCAACATCGCTGCGACGTCTATTGGGAAAAACGCGCAACAGCACGTCGACGGGTGAGCGTTGTTGCGGCTGTCCCGCCTGCATTTGCTGCTGGGCCATAGCTAGCGGCAGTGCATGCTGCTGTTGTTGTTGCTGTTGCTGCTGCTGATGCTGTGCATGATGTTGATGGTGGTGGTGGTGTTGCGCATGTGGTGAATGCTGATTGTGTGGATGTACTCCCACGGCCGCGGCGGCAGCTGCAGCAGGCATGGCAGCGGCAAGGAACTGCGAGTGATGATATGGGATAAAACCTTGCGCGGCGCCATTGTTGAAGGTGCGTAGCAAATGTAAGTTGTCAGCGGGCGTGTTTGGCGGCGAATTGGAGTCCTCTTTTTTCAAGCTAAGATTTTCCGGAGTTGCTTCATCAGGCGCAGAGTCGACATCCAAATCGGACTCGGGTGAGCTGGGTGGACCAGTGCGTGTAGGTGAATGATTGCCAGAGTCATTGTAGTTGCGACCCTTCATGCGGGGGCTGCTGGGCGAGGATTCGGAACCGGTATCTTGATCAGTTTCGTTGGAAAGGCGGGCGCGCTTGGAGCCTGTGGGGGAAACAAAATTAAAAAGAACGAATTAGTAAATAAAATAAAAGCAAATGGGTAAATAAGGGTATAGTTTACAACGCGTGAAATAAAGATTTCGTTAAATTAATTATCGAGCAGTGATGTGGTTTTGGTGATGTAAGGGTATGTCTACAGGCCCATTGCCCCGCGACCAGATTTGATCTCTTTGCGCCACAGTGTTAGGCGCCACATACTTATTCCCGGAAAACCGATTCACGAGACGAGTATTTTAATTTGTTAATTCATTTATATGATTACCTTGTAGCCCAATACTTAGTAAGTACTTTCCAACAAAACTGACTATTTTGTGCTATGCACATAATTGCGTCTTTGATGTAAAAATTCCATCTAGCATTTATTAATCCAAAATTTCTATCACCATTTGAATGGACATGTATCGACGAACATACATACATACATTCATACATATGTATTTCTCATACATGAATCCGCATTCTCAAATTACAAATATGCTTAGCATTTCTAAGCCATGACTCCACTTACTAAAGCGAATTTGCATAAGCCATCAATGGTAAATAAAGAATCACTTCCTTTCGCTACAACGGCCTCAACAATGAAATTTTCACAATTTCCCTCAAAGCGCACCTTTGCAATTTTTACAGTGAAACAGACATTTGATACTGCGAAGGTAAATACAAATAAAGAACAGAGGAAAAAAGTTATAGCAGCTCTTTGGTGCCCTACTTGTTGGCAAAAGAAAGTATCGAATTGATGTGGAAAAAAATTTAATCACGGGAACTGTAAACATTAGAAAATGGTTTGGGGTTGATGGACAACAAACTACGCACACACACAAACGAGTATGGGCTAGATTGAATGGCAGGCAGGTGCTGGTCGCCTAGAAACATGCAGTGTATTGGTAAAACAATAAGCTAAATAGATATATGATATCTTCTGAATTTCCTACAATATTTTATTTGCTTTTGTTTTTTGTTTGCTTCAGTTGTTATTTTTGTGACTTGTTGAAGTACCGAATACATGGATATAATTTAATTAAGTCATTTTGGGCGATACCTTGCTGAGTGGATATTGACGGTTGGGTACATTCTTTTTTTTCTTTGTTTCATTTGTAAAATACATTTGCGTGCCCTTTAAGTAAAATAACCTTAAATTTGTATCAACTTAATGCAAATTTTAAATACCGAAACGGTTTCAGCACGTACGTATGTATATATATATATATGTATATATGTATGTATGTATACTAGACCCCGTCAAAAAGAAAATCCTGAATCTCCCCTCTCTAGGACAATTGTGACAGGTTCCGCGCCGAGCCTTTAATTTTCCCATACACTGAGGAAAAAAATATTAAAATCAATCAGAAACGTAATTGATCTTACTATAAACGCTAACGAATGTACTGTATAATGGTTCATTTTTAAAAAGCATCCGTGAAGTAAATAATCAAGATAAAAACCAAAAAAAAAAATTTAATTTGCATGTTACCTGCAGTGGAATAGGAACCCTGGCCCTCTCTAGTTTTTTTGTTATTTATAAATACAAGTTTAAAGGCAGTGTCACACGATTGGGAATTTTCCGAAATTTGGTGGGAAATCGTATCCCAATTGTGTGAATACCCAAATATTTTTCTTTATCCCAGTAAGGAAAAATAATTTGTTGAAATTTTTTAACACAAGATTACTGTGTTGTATCAAGCTTTTGACTACAAAATAAAAAAATATTGGGACAATTATCCATTAGCCCAATATCAAAATGCACAAATCTGTACAAATGTACGAATTTTCGAAAAAATTGCGAGTTTTTAATTAGATTCTGAGCATGCAGCTTTGTAGCCCATTGAATTTGTACGAAAGTTTGTTAAATTTTTTTTTTAAACCCTACGGTTCCGGGATTGCAAAATTTATTATATTTAAAGACGTCCACCCAAACATTTCGGTAAAATATAAGGATTTACGTGTACTGGACTGATTTGAAAACACCTCCACTAATAAAGTTTTTTTATGACTAAAAATAGTTTCTTAAAAACCTTTTTTAAAAAAATCCCCTCAGATGACAAAACATTTTAAGCATAAAAAATCTGCATAAAAATATGCAAAATATGTTTTTTTAACTTTTTTGAAAGATTGGTTTAAGAAAAACTTCAATAACTGGCCAAAGCTATTCCGATTTAGACTTGTTAGGTATCAGTAGAAAGGTATTTTCGCCCTATTTTTACTTCAGTGCAAACGAAACTCATTCACGTGCCATTTTTTTTTTTTTTAATACAAACACATCTTACTTAATTCAATTTGGAATGACGCTCGTTCATCCTACCTTTCTCTTTCATACTTTGAATCCATTTATTTGGAAAGAAATAGAAAGGGTGGGAAAATACTTTTCCAATGATACCTCACAAGTCTAAATCGGAATAGTTTTGGTCCAGTTATACAAGTTGAAAAATCTCATTACTACGATTCCGTTGAAATTAATTTTTAAGATTTTAAGAAGTAATTAAGTAACTTAACAACTTATTCAGAATTTTTATTGTAATAATTTAAATTGCAAATTCAATTTTGCGCTTTCCTTCTGCGAATCTTTCTAATATCCTTTCAGTGTCAATTTCAATATCTAAGTGTACGGTGTAAAAGTGCTATACCTATCAGTCATTCTTCATTCATGGTACTACGCAACCATGTTTTTAACCGGCGAAGGGTTGAAAAACTTCTTTCGGAAGTAGCGTTACTAGCTGGAAGTGTGACCAGAATGCGGGGAAGTTTGTTATTTAATGGACAAGCATATTCATCGCATTTACCAAGAACTTCTGCTGCTGATTTTGGGAATGGCTTTTCGCTTTCCTTATTTATTCATCGTTCCAACCACACTTTATACTCTGCTTCCAACCTGATACCGTCTTTTTCTAAGAAAAGTTCGTATCGTTTTCCAAGCTATTCGATAGCATTATTTTTTTCGTCAGGCGTATTATATTCCCCACTTTTAGATGGAAGTAATAAGTTCAAATCAAAAATGTTTAATGACTCTTCCGGCAATCTTTCTCGGAGATAGAGCAAAATATTATACAATAGCGGTATAAATATTGCCTTTCGATAATAATCTTCAGCGTTATTATAATTAGCCCGAAAGTGTTGTCTATTCGCTCTCCGAGGAAGGACAATATCACATTCCAGCAGTGTCAGCATTTTCTCTATAATTTCGAAGAATATTCACAGTGCCATTGACTGCTACGCTAGCACGATTCAAGTCAAGCGAGGGCGATTGGAGAAGTAAACTTTTAATTTTTTATTTTTTATTATAACTTTTTAATTTTGATCTTTCAAGTCATTAATATTTTTATGCGCATATAAATGTCTGGTTACACGGTTGAAAGTGAAATTTCCTACATACATACGTGCACCGCGGAAATAGAAAAAAGTAGTATCAGAAAGTGCGATTTGACATACATTCATAGTATCTACATACCCATTGTTTTAATTTTTCACATTGACGAAGAGTTTTACACGATTTCTTATTCTATAAATAATCTTGTGCAAGCCTAAAAAGTGGTTACGATTGATCAAATACCAGAATGAGAGAGCAAGACGAACTCGAAAAGAAAAAAAGCAGGCATCGAACAAAAGGCAGTATTGCCAAGTTTTGAATTTGAAAAAGCATCAAATTTTGATTGGTGTACTTATTGGACTTTATATGCATACATATTCAAATTTATAAAAATCAATGTTTCTTGCACGACGGTCGATTTCTTCTGGCATGATTGAAGGTGCTGCCACATATTTTGTTGTCGCTTATGATTGTGACTATGCCAAGATTTTGTCTAAATTTTTGTAAAGTTGCTAACCCCACTTATGATTGCTATAAATTTTGCTTACAGTTTTTTAAGGTTTACAAATTTGGTGTCTTCAAACTAAAAACAAAAGCACCAAAAACGCACCAAACACTAAACTCAACAATTTTGGCGGTTTGAATACCCACTAAATTAGGTGCGAAAAGCACCAAGTTGGATACAGTAAATGTAAACAAAAGTATTGTGCGACATCAGCGAATGAGTGGATGCTGTCAAATCGACGAAGAGAGCGGTAACGGTCCGCGAATGGCGCCGCCTTCATTTTCTGCATCGTGCTTTCAACGATATAGACATGATTCAATAATACAAGGTTAGATAATTATTGACAGCTGCGGTTTGACACTCCCTTACAAAAGGTTGCATTTACGGAGGACAAAGAAAGGGCAAGAATGCAATCCCTTGTTTCGAAAATGGTAGTAGAAA